TCTAGGACCAATATAAACATAGACAGTATTTATCTCACTCTAAGACTAATATAAACATAGACAGTAGTTATCTCACTCTAGTTTATACAAGATAATGAGCAATTTCTTTCAAATATACTGATAGTAATGGTTTTGGTGTGAGAAAGTATGATTTTTTCTTATAAACCAGAAGGTAAACACCTAAATCTGCAGGTTTAATCTCTTAGTAAAACAGAAATGATCATTATATTCATACACTGCATGTTACTTATAAACATTTCAGTTACACCTTAGAAAACTGTAAGATACAAAAAAAATATCTAAATGTCGATTTACAATTCCTTTTTTTTTAATTTATTGGTAATCTCTAAATAAATTTTTTTAAATCATTTTCTTTAAGCATTTCAGTGAAGGTTTCAGCTATCAAAATTGCAAGCTATGTGTTAATTACTGCATTTATTTCTTTTTCATAGCTGTATTATTAATATACATCTCAACACAGAAAACATTCATTAGGAAAATACTACTTTAGCTAACAATAGACAATATATATATTATTTGGTTATATTTAATTTTCAACGAATAAAAACTGGAGGAAAAAAAACTTATTTGCGGATGTTTAACAAAACAGTTTCTACTACTTCTTAGTATCTTTAACATCTGGAAAAATACGGAGGAGAAAATTGGTGACAAACCTTAGATTGTTCTGCAAATCCTGCTAAGATAACTTGAATGTGTTCAGCAATATGACAGTTAGCTTCAAGTGGAACAGGCTGACAAACCAAATTTGTTGTACTATGTAAAAGTGTGCTATGCATTAGAGAACCAAGCAGCAGCCATGAAAGTAGACGGATGTGAGCCACACAGTCTATGAACTCCTTGGGCCTAAAATAATAGAGAACTTTTAAATCATACCTTAATGTTAAACACCATAAACCTGAAATTAGAATAACAAAGAAAAAGTAAAATACATTTTTACTGACAACACAGACAGAAACTTACTCGTTTAATTACAGAAGTACTGACAAAGAGAAGAAGAATGACTACACAATCTTCTTCATAATGACTTAATCTACTTATTGATAGAAACTCACTCGCTTAATTACAGAAGTACTGACAAAGAGAAGAAGAAGAATAACTACAAATCTTCTTCATAATGACTTAATCTACTTATTGATAGAAACTCACTCTCTTAATTACAGAAGTACTGACAAAGAGAAGAAGAATGACTACAAATCTTCTTCATAATGACATAATCTACTTATTGATAGAAACCCACTCACTTAATTACAGAAGTACTGACAAAGAGAAGAAAATGACTACAAATCTTCTTCATAATGACTTAATCTACTTATTGATAGAAACTCACTCGCTTAATTACAGAAGTACTGACAAAGAGAAGAAGAATGACTACAAATCTTCTTCATAATGACATAATCTACTTATTGATAGAAACCCACTCACTTAATTACAGAAGTACTGACAAAGAGAAGAAAATGACTACAAATCTTCTTCATAATGACTTAATCTACTTATTGATAGAAACTCACTCGCTTAATTACAGAAGTACTGACAAAGAGAAGAAGAATGACTACACATCTTCTTCATAATGACTTAATCTACTTATTGATAGAAACTCACTCGTTTAATTACAGAAGTACTGACAAAGAGAAGAAGAAGAATGACTATACATCTTCTTCATAATGACTTAATTTACTTATTGATAGAAACTCACTTGTTTAATTACAGAAGTACTGACAAAGAGAAGAAGAAAAATGAATATACATCTTCTTCATAATGACTTAATCTACTTATTGATAGAAACTCACTCGTTTAATTACAGAGGTACTGACAAAGAGAAGAAGAAGAATGACTACACATCTTCTTCATAATGACTTAATCTACTTATTGTTAGAAACTCACTTGTTTAATTACAGAAGTACTGACAAAGAGAAGAAGAAGAATGACTACACATCTTCTTCATAATGACTTAATCTACTTATTGTTAGAAACTCACTCTCTTAATTACAGAAGTACTGACAAAGAGAAGAAGAAGAATGACTACACATCTTCTTCATAATGACTTAATCTACTTATTGATAGAAACTCACTCTCTTAATTACAGAAGTGTTGACAAAGAGAAGAAGAATGACTACACAACTTCATAATGACTTAATCCCAACTAGTTTGGGGTTGGCCAGTAATTTTGCATGCCAATAATTTTTACACTTGGGTGGTCAGCCCAGGTGGCAAGCATGTAGAATGAGCATGTTCAGCAATGGGGATTTTAACTCACAACTCTCAGAACCCTAACCACCAGATCATGTCAGGTCCAGAGAATGGTTATCATGTTCCATAAAGAAAATTACAATTGTGCATAAATTGCAAAGGAAATACACAGCTGTTTAATAGCAGCAACATTCACTTTAAGAAAACATGCATGTTTGTAGAATTATAAAAGACATAAAAAACAATCTAATTGTTTAATTAGTTTCAGACTTCCAATTAAATACTGAAAACAGCAGAAAAACACACCCTTGCTGTAAAGTTGATGGTGGGTTGTACAACCAGGGTAGGTATTTTGCAATGGCTCGGTTGTCACGGCCATTACCTTTCGATATTTCAATGGCAAGGTACTGAGCGATACCTGCTTTAAGTTGTCCACCTAATGTTTCTTCATTTAGACGGGCTGAAGTTCCATGAAGACTACTCTGTAATAAACAGTAATAATGGTATAAGGTAAACAGTAACACTTCCATAAGACAAACAGTAATACTAATATAAGGTAAACAATAACACTTCCATAAGACAAACAGTAATACTAATATAAGGTAAACAGTAATACTTCCATAAGACAAACAGTAATAGTGGTATAAGGTAAACAGTAACACTTCCATAAGACAAACAGTAATACTAATATAAGGTAAACAATAACACTTCCATAAGACAAACAGTAATACTAATATAAGGTAAACAATAATACTTCCATAAGACAAACAGTAATACTGGTATAAGGTAAACAATAACACTTCCATAAGACAAACAGTAATACTAATATAAGGTAAACAGTAATACTTCCATAAGACAAACAGTAATACTGGTATAAGGTAAACAGTAACACTTCCATAAGACAAACAATAACACTTCCATAAAACAAACAGTAATACTAATATAAGGTAAACAATAACACTTCCATAAGACAAACAGTAATACTAATATAAGGTAAACAGTAATACTTCCATAAGACAAACAGTAATACTGGTATAAGGTAAACAGTAACACTTCCATAAGACAAACAATAACGCATCCATAAGACAAACAGTAATACTAATATAAGTTAAACAGTAACACTGCCATAAGACAAACAGTAATACTGGCATAATGCAAACACTTACATTAGTATAAGGCAAACAATAACACTTTCATAAGGCAAACACTTACATTGGTGTGATGCAAACAATAACACTTTCATAAGGCAAACACTTACATTGGTATAAGGCAAACAGTAACACTTCCATAAGACAAACAGTAAAACTGGCATAAGGCAAACAATAACACTTGAATAAGGTAAACAGTAATACTGGTACAAGGCAAACAATACCACTTCCATAAGACAAACAGTATTACTGGCATAAGGCAAACAATAACACTTGAATAAGGTAAACAGTAATACTGGCATAAGGCAAACAATAACACTTGAATAAGGTAAACAGTAATACTGGCATAAGGCAAAAAGTAATATTGGCATTAGGCAAACAATAACACTTGAATAAGGTGAACAGTAATACTGGCATTAGGCAAACAATAACACTTGAATAAGGTGAACAGTAATACTGGCATTAGGCAAACAATATTACTTCCATAAGACAAACAGTAATACTGGCATAAGGCAAAAAAGAATACTGGCATAAGGCAAACAATAACACTTGAATAAGGTAAAGAGTAATACTGGTACAAGGCAAACAATACCACTTCCATAAGACAAACAGTATTACTGGCATAAGGCAAACAGTAATACTGGCATAAGGCAAAAAGTAATACTGGCATAAGGCAAAAAGTAATACTGGCATTAGGCAAAAAGTAATACTGGCATTAGGCAAAAAGTAAAGCTGGCATTAGCCAAAAAGTAATGCTGCCATAAGGCAAAAAGTAATGCTGCCATAAGGCAAAAAGTAATACTGGCATAAGGCA